GTTGGGAGAAACTGAGAAAAACAAGACTCAGCCTTTGTTTGACAGAGTGGTCTGGTGGGAAGGGGGCTGAATCAATTTTTTTGTTCCTGGTTTTGCTTTTTTTTTTTCCCTGGATAGCGTATTATGTAGCTCACACTGGCTGGCCTAGAACTCACTGTATCACTAAGGGTGACTATGAGTGTTTGGTCTCCTGCCTAGAGTGCTGGGGCTACAGGCTTACACCACCATGCCCAGTTTTGTTGGTGCTAGTGATTGAACTCAGTGCTTTTTGAACCCAGTGCTTTGTGTGTGCTAGGCAAGCAGTGCTCCAATTGGGCTGTTTCCAGCCCTTTGTTCCCATTTTCAAGCAGCTACAATAACCTTGAAACCTGTAGACCTGAAATGGGACCTTACCCATCACTACACTTTTCCTTCTTCAAAGCAGAACAGCTAGTGCCCAGAACTTCTGACATGCATCTTTAAAAAGTTACCTTTATTTTGGGGGGCTGCCTTTCAAGTTAGAGCTCCAAAATGTGAATGCTAACTTTAATATTGAGATTTCAGAGTAGGCCTGTACTTGAATGCATTCTCACTGCAAGTTAATCAGTCTGTACGCTGTTCTTGTTCTGACTCTGTTGGAGGCAGTGTCTCAAATAGTCTAGGCCAAATGTGAACCTGCCAGAGGATGATCTTGAAGTTCTGTGGGATTATAGATGATCCACTACAAGTGAATGGTTCTGAAACTTAAATCTTAATTTTGCTTGCTCTGTTTAGTCTTGAAGGCTATTGCAAAGAGCCTACATTCTGAGAACTGCCGCTCCTCTCCCTGAAGTCATTGTGGCATTGCTATTTTAAAGTGGAAGCTGTCGGGGTTGGGGATTTAGCTCAGTGGTAGAGCTAACTTGGAAATATTTTGCATGAGAGTGAAGTCATTTTCACCTTCTGTAGGTGTTGTTAAAGTCAAAATCAGATGGAAAAAAATAAAAGACAGGAATTTGGGACAAAATAGGGAAAATGATTGCTTTTGTATGGGCCTAGTAGTTAGAGGCAAGGTAATCTGACGAATGACCTCAGATAGGAAGACAGGTGCCTTCTCACTAGCTGTCATTCTTCACCATGCTTAAGAATTCAAGACTGATAGGGCCAGGCGTGTAGTAGGCCCACCCGGCTTCCATCTCTAGCACCATCCAAAGTAAATTAATTTTCAGCCTCAGATGGGTAACATACTTTGAGACTGCTTAGTATACAGTCTACTTGTGCTAGATCAAGTAATAGTGATGTTTTCCCCCTGAAACGTTTTATTTTGTTGGTATTAACTAATGTGATATATGCCAGCCAAACAATTCCCTGCTTTGGAAGCTACATCTTAACCAGGAGTTTCTGAAGCAGAGTTGTCCTTAGCATCTGTGACATTGTTTATTAATATGTGTGCTTTTTCTCTGACGCATTTGGGTGAAATTTGGGGAATTCACACCCATATTGTTAAAAAACGTATTAGCTGGAAAGGTGGAAGGGAATTTGAGATAATCTTTCCTAATTTTTAGAAAATCTCAGAAAAAGTTCTGTCACCTCATTCTATTGCTTAGGTTAGTAGGGAAATCGAGGTACAGACGGTAGAGAGAGATCTCCCTGAGTCAATCATGTCCATCATGTGTCAGTGAGTCCAAATTCTTAGAAATAACCCCTCATTCTTGTAGCGTGTACTGAAATTAGGAAGATGGGAACTGACCCATCTTCCTAATTTATTTTCATAGTTTAGAATAGCTTTTGACAGCAAAGGAAATGTTCGAAAGTTTCTTCCTTTTTGGTATTTTTTAAGACAGGGTCTTGTGTAGCCCTGGCTAGCCCAGAACTTGCAATGTAGAGCAGACTGGCCTTGAAGTCCTAGTGCCTGCCTCCGCCTCCCAGGAACTGGGATTAAAGGCATATGTCCTTTGTTGATGGAACATTGCTGTAGGTTTTAGAAGATTCTGAGTAGGGGCTGTTTTTTAGTTTGTACAGATTTTATTTCTCCGTGAGTGCTGAGGTGAAGTGGTGAGTAGTGGTTGGAGTCACTGGTTTCCTTTTATACTTTCTTTGAGAATTAATACATCAAACTGTGTATTTGGGGGCTGGAGAGATGGCTTGGTGGTTAAGAGCACTGGCTGCTCTTGTAGAGGACCAGGGTTGGAATCCCAGCACCCACATGGCAGCTAACAACTGTCCTTAGTGCCAGTTCCGAGGGGATCCACCACCCTCTTCTGACCTCTGCAGGCACTACACAACACGGGTTCACTTCCATGCATGCAGGCATAACACTCATACACAGAAAATAAAAATAATTTTTAATAAACTATGTACATCAGTCATATCTACCTATGCCCCCAACACGTTCCCTTCCCAACTTCATGTCATGTCCTCTTTTTTCTTCATCTTTTTAATAATTAACAAAAGGCCCTAGTCCAGTTAGTGCTGCCCATATGCACAGGCAAACTACCATTGGCCACACCCTCAAAGAAAAATGACTCTCCCTCCTCCAGCATTCATTAACTACAAGTAGATTCACAGATAGCTGTGGAGCCTTGAGCCCTCTCCTTCCCATGCTGAAAGTCTGACTGACTTGATCTTGTGCAGTAGCCACAGCTGCTGGGCCCTCATGAATGCAGCGGCCACTCAGGACAGCAGCCCTCCGGAGGTCAGCATTTTGCAGCATTCCTTCCCATTCTCTGACTCCTTCATTCTTTGCACCCTCTCTTTTGGGATGTTCTTGAGTCAAGGTAGAGGGGATGCAGATGGGGGGTGGGGAGCTGAAATAGATGTCTGATTTAGGGCTGAGCACTGATAGTCAAGAATGATTCTCAGTGATTTGACCAGTCATGAGTCTTTGTACTAACTGTTGCCACTGCAAGAAGCAGTTTCTCTGACCAAAGTTAAGCAGAACAAATTAATATTTATACCAAAAATATTTAGCAGGCAATTTGACAGTATGTTTACATACTGGAATTTGTCCAAAGCCTTTTCTGCATCTGTTGCGGTGACCATATGACTTCTGTCCTTGAGTCCATTTATGTCATTTGTAACATTTATTGATTTCTATATATTGAGCAATCCCTGCATTTCTGGAATAAAGCCAGTTTAATCATGATATGATCTTTTTATGTGTTTTAATTCATTGAGTATTTAATTCATTGGTTGACACTTTGTATTAAGCCTCATCAGGGAAATTGTTCTGTCATTTTTTGTTGTTGTCTAATTTTGGTATCAGGATGATACCGGCTTCATGAAACAAGTTTGGTAATGTTCTCTCCTTTTTTTGGAGAATAATTCACTAGGGAAGCCAGGCAAGGAACACCTTTAATCCTAGCACTCACTTGGGAGGCAGAGGCAGATTTATGTGAGAACAAGACCAGCCTGATCTATGTAGCAAGTTCCAGGCCAGATGGGGCTACAGGGAGACCTGTCTCAAAAAGGAAAAAAAAAAAAGTGAATCCATCTGGGCCTATACTTTTTGTTGAAAGATTTTAATTTTAATTTTATTTTTTTGGTCTTTGAGACAGGGTCTCCCTGTAGCCCTAGCTGTCCTGGAACTCACTATGTAGACCAGGCTGGCCTTGAACTCTCAGAGATCTGCCTGCCTCTGCCTCCCAAGTGCTGGGATTAAAAGTGTGCGCCACCACGCCCGGCTGGCGTCTTTACATATTGAACTATCTTAACCAGCCCTAGTTGGAGATTGTAACTTACTGTTTTGTTCTCAGTGGTTGTTATCTACAGATGTGTTTAACCTGTTTCTCTCATCTTGGTTTA